TGACCATGCTTAGGCAGGTCTGACCATGCTCAGGTAGGTCTGATGACGCTCAGGTAGTTCTGACCATGTTCAGGCAGGTCTGATCATGTTCAGGTAGGCTGACCATGCTTAGGCAGGTCTGACCATGCTCAGGTAGGTCTGATCATGCTCAGGTAGGTCTGACCATGCTGAGGTAGGTCTGACCATGCTCAGGTAGGTCTGGCTATGCTCAGGTAGGTCTGACCATGCTCAGGTAGGTCTGATCATGCTCAGGTAGGTCTGACCATGCTCAGGAAGGTCTGACCATGCTCAGGAAGGTCTGACCATGCTCAGGTAGGTCTGACCATAGTGAGGTAGGTCTGACTATGCTCAGGTAGGTCTGATCATGCTCAGGTAGGTCTGACCATACTGAGGTAGGTCTGACTATGTTCAGGTAGGTCTGACCATGCTCAGGTAAGCTGACCATGCTCAGGTAGGTATGACAATACTGAGGTAGGTCTGACTATGCTCAGGAAAGTCTGACCATGCTCAGGTAAGCTGACCATGCTCAGGTAGGTATGACCACGTTCAGGCAGGTCTGATCATGCTCAGGTAGGTCCGATCATGCTCAGGCAGGTCCGACCACGCTCAGGAAGGTCTGCATGCTCAGGAAGGTCTGACCATGCTCAGGTAGGTTTGACCATGCTCAGGTAGGTCTGACCATACTGAGGTAGGTCTGACTATGCTCAGGTAGGTCTGATCATGCTCAGGAAGGTTTGACCATGCTCAGGTAAGCTGACCATGCTCAGGTAGGTCTGACCACGCTCAGGTAGGTCTGACCACACTCAGGCAGGTCTGACCATGTTCAGGTAGGTTGACCATGCTTAGGCAGGTCTGATCATGCTCAGGTAGGCCTGACCATACAGAGGTAGGTCTGACTGTGCTCAGGTAGGTCTGACCATACTGAGGTAGGTCTGACCATGCTCAGGTAAGCTGACCATGCTCAGGTAGGTATGACCATGTTCAGGCAGGTCTGATCATGCTCAGGTAAGCTGACCATGCTCAGGTAGCTATGACAATACTGAGGTAGGTCTGACTATGCTCAGGTAGGTCTGACCATGCTCAGGAAGGTCTGACCATGCTCAGGTAAGCTGACCATGCTCAGGTAGGTATGACCATGTTCAGGCAGGTCTGATCATGCTCAGGTAAGTTACTACTCACAGTCCTGCAAAGCTCCAAGCCGCAAGTAACTACACCTTCAATGACTGGACGCCTGCCCACCTCTACCTGGTCACCTCTGTGCTTTTGTTAAGGCCCAGTTCAGAGGTACCTCCTTATGGGAAGTTTTTGCTGTGGCTGTCTGATGTCCTTTGGCTATCCCCACATGTGCACCTGACACTCACCACCACGTTGGCCTGTTAACTCACCTGCCTGTCCTTCCATGAACTTCCTGAGGGCAGTGGCCCTGAGCCAGCACAGGGTCTGACAGCAAGTGTACACTTCTTGTAGGAGTAACATGGACGTGTACAGAATCCCATCTCCACCCCATCTCTGAAGTACCCACCCGGCTGGTCTGGCCCTGCCCTCTAGAACTACACAGAACAAGGTTACCTCCCTTCCACAGGTCAGCCTCTCAGACAGTTGGCAACAATATTTCCGTCCTCCTTAAAACTCCTTTTTGCTGGGCTAAAAAAATACTGGATTCTTTGAAGAGCTGTGTCCTTAAGGAACTTAACCAAGAAGTTCAGTTGGATGATCAGTAATGAATGCAAACAAGTATTTAACATAGCCAGGCCAGCAGACCGAAGTTTTACAGAGAAGAACATCTGATTGGTTAGGGAAAGAACTGTTAGAAAAGGTACATATGTTTCAAATGGTTGTGGTCATGAACTACACAGCCAGCAAAGGGACCTTTCAGCTTTAGGGAGCATGAGAACCACTGGCACTCGTTTAAAATGGAGGCCCGGCCCTTCCTGCAGAGGCTCTTGTTCAGCAGGTGGGGATGGTGCTCGTGCCTGTGTCTGCCCAGATCACCTGCAGCAGGACTGCAGCACCTGCCCACATCTGGGCAGCAGGAAGTGGCCTGGACCTGGGAGCTGGAGCTGGAGTGTCTCTCAGCTCTCCACCTTCCAGGTGTGAGCCCTTGGATAGTTACTTAACCTCAGTTTCCTCATCTGTAAAACACACCAGCATACTGACCTCATGGCTGACTGGGAGGAGTACATGGATAATGTATGTAAACTGCCTAGCACACATTAGGTGCTCAAGAAAAGGAGAAACTCTTATTGTAAAATACATTAAGAAATTCAGGGCTAAAAGAGTTAGGGTAGGTAAGAAATTAAAATTCAGGGAAGAAAACAGCTCACAGGAATGAATCCCATATAGTCCTATACAGCAGCTGGGGTTCTAGCACTGAGCTTCCCAGGGCCAAAACAGGGCAGGAAAACACGCTCAGTTACCAGGTTCAATGATCATAAAATAAAAACAACCCTATTGCTTAAAATGCCTTTCCCCAGGAGAAGATTTTCCTATGGGTCTTCTTTATGAGAGGCATGTGATGTAGTTGGAGGCGCCCTTGGCGACTTTCCTACTTCAAATACAAGGGTGATCCTTTCAGGGCTGTAGTTCTGATTGTGGGCAAAAGACATCTAGTAGGATAACACCCAAGCACAATCCAGAAAAGGCAATTCTATGAGACACTGTTAGGGACTGAATTGTGTCCCCAAAATATGTATTGGGATCCAAGCTCCTATACCTGTGGTTATGATTCCATTTGGGAATAGGGTTTCCTTTATGTTAACGAGGCCATCTTGGTATAGCGTGCGCCTTAAACCCAATCACTTCAAAGTTATAAAAAGATTAGACACGGAATCAAGCACAAATAGGGGGAAGACAGACAGCACGTGAAGATTTCCAAGAAATCGAGGAATAGAAGTCAAAAGAGATAGGGATCTTCCCCCAGAACCGACAGAGAGAGAGCTTTCTCCTGCTTTCAGACTTCCAGCGTCCTAAACTGTGAGAAAATAAACTTCTGTTGTTTAAAGCCGCCCACTTGTGGTATTTCTGTTACAGCAGTACAAGCTAACTAGACAGACGCTAAGATGCCATGTCAAGTGACAGCCCTCTTACGATCTGATCCAAGGAAAACATTTAGAATTCATAGAACCAGAGGGACTCATGACCATCAGGAAAGCCTCCAGAAATATATGTCTCCATTCATTCATTTACTCACTCATTCACTCCTTCAGTGTTACTGAGCACCCAGATGGCAAAGCAGAATAAGGATAGCCACATGCCCGCCCTCGGGAAGTTCCTGCCCTAGTCATAGTGGAGAAAACAGATAAGAAACATACAAGATAACTGCAGATGTGGCAGGCTCTGTGAAAGAAAGGGACTGTGTGACAGAGAAGCGGGTGTTTGATGAGGCTGGGGAGGGGCAATGCCAAGGTCACAGGCCTTGGTGGGGCCTGAAGAGTGGATGTTCTGAGAGGCTAATTAGGGCTCAGCCTGCACATGGAGGTGACCCGCTGGGCAGGGCTACAGTCCTGTCATAGAGATTAAGAAAAATCGGTCAAGACGTGCACTCAGACACCCTGTGAAGGGTCAGCATCATGTGCCCCAGAAATCCTGGCAGGAGAGAAGGCCGGCCAGCAGTCCGTCAGGAGTGTGCTGACAGCCAGGAAGGCCGAAGCAGGGAACAGGGAAGGCCAAGCCCTGCAATCAGGAAAGAAGCTCAGAGTTCACAGCACCACCAGGCTAACTTACATCATTGGCAAAACTAACCAGTACACATTAAAATGTAAATGGTGACATTCTTCCTTATCCCAAACCCCAGGCGAGTTCTACCAACCTTTCAAAGAAAAGTTAATTCTTATCTAATACAAGTTATTCCAGAAATTAAAAGAAGAGGGGAAGCTAGTAATCTCATTTTATGAGCTAACATAATACCTTAAGACCTTTTACAGAAATATTCCATTTACACTGTGGAAAATTTGAGACCAGAGATAAGCGAAAATAAAAGCA